ACTGCTGATCACAGAACCGTGCTTCACTGAAAGATACACATGACAATCGCAGCTTCTGTCGAATCGCGATTTCGATTCCATTTCGATTTATCTTGCAGCCATATATATATATATATATATATATATATAATATTTATATATCATTATTTATACAATTATATTTTATTCAATTTATTAATAAATACATTATAATAAATAATAATAATAACATACATAATTAAAATAAAATGTAATTAAATATTGAATATAAATATGTTCTATTGAAAACTAAATAAAAAAATAAATAAAGTAAAATGAAGTAAAAAATAAAATAAAATAAAGTAAAAAATAAAATGTCCCTTTTCAACCACCTCACTTTTTAAATCTAGGATTCTGTTTTATGTGTGTCTAGAAAACTTTGCTATCAGCTAAAAATGAATAAATAAAAATGAGCATTAAACTATGTGTGAACATAGTAGTTTGCAAAAGCATTTTTCATTAATAATAATTAATCATTAATAATAAGTAAACTGAACAGAACTGAACTGAATTTACTAAAGTAGTGAGCTGAGAGTGAACTGAACAGAGAGAGAGAGAGAGAGAGAGCGAGAGAAAGAGAGAGAGAGAAAAAGAGAGAGAGAGAGAGAGAGCGAGAGAAAGAGAGAGAGAGAGAGACCAGCAAACAGCCATCTGTGACTCTCAACATCTTTTTTCTCATCCGATTATTTGAGCACACATTTTTCCTTAAAGTACCTGGCTGGCTGTGCGGGTCTCGGAGCCAGTTCTTGGCTTGGGCCATTTTGGAGTCGATCAGAGCCAGCGCTCTCTTCATAGCCTCTGTGTCCTGCAAACCACGTCCACAACATCAAACACACAGTCCTGCATCAGATTAACACAACAGACACCTTACATCTGACATCGGGACGTGCTGATGATGTTCTGTATCATGTGTGTGTGTGTGTGTGTGTGTGTGTGGAGTTATTTTGTCAGTTGTCTGTGTGATTTATTAATAGATACGACCTCGGTGAACTTCTCAGTCTGCATTCATACACAAATCCCATATTTTTCACAGATTATAACATTATAAGAAATTATAACATTATAATAACATTACAAGAAATTATAATTATATATAAAAAAATGTATTTAAAGTCTGCATTCATAAACAAATTTGATATTTTCCACTTTAATGTGACAAATCTGTATTTGAGTGAAATATCAGAATGAATCTAATATTTTAAATTCTGAACTGATGTGACTTCAGTCAGATCACAGTTAATGTAATTTTTATGTCAATTTAGCTCGACATTTGTCATAATTCTGTGCTTTTCTTATCCTTAGTATGAAGATGATAGAGAATGGCCAGTGACAAGTGTCTTATATTTTTATGTTATACATATAATCTCTAATAATCTACAAATAATCTACTAGAAACTCGATTTATTAAAAAAAAAA